GGATTACAGGTATACAGGACCAAACTCCCTGTATGCTAAACAAGCACTACAACCGAACCCACATTTCCCCTCTTCTCATTGTTTATTGTTGAACCTTGAAAATGTTTGGTCTGAAACTCTTTGCTGGCTGGATTCATGGTTTTTGTGGTTTCCCTTCCCAGTCTGTAGCCTCTTTATTCTATGGAGTGTTGGCTTTGCCAGTCCTTTACCTAGCTAGCCTCAGGCCTTGTAGCCATTTTCCTTCTGAAAGTCCTAACAGTTTTATGTTTAACTTTATGCTAATTACTTTGAGATTTGAGATTTAGATCAGAAAAGTAGGGGATATTTCTCTCTAAAAATGTCCAGTTCTAGCCCTGGAATAACTGTCTTCTGTAGACTTGTTTGTACCTGAAGGGTTCAGTTGGCTGTATTTTGTGGGACAGCATAGACTGTGTGCCAGTGATGTCTCCCTAGATTCATGTAAAAGGCAGAGCTTTAGAAAAGGGAAAAGTGTACCTGCAAGGACCTTGAGAAAGTAGAGACTACCTTGTAGCAGGTTTACAAGTGAAGTCCCAGCAGCCTTTTACATGCATCTAGGATAAGCTTGTTTAAATTATTGAAGTTGACAAGGCTGTCCATTGGTGATAGTCAGCATCGCTGTGATTGGTTGTTTTGATGTATAGAACAATGGGTAATGTGGCATCAAATTACATCTGCAGGTCTTCTGTGCATTCTGTGATTATCATTGTCATTTCTAAGTATACACCTGAGTTTTCGTGTTCAGTGTCCCTCTGTAGACCCCGGTTTTTGAGTCCCACCCCTCCATAATGAGTTGAAAATGGGTTGTTTGGGTCACTGCTAGATGTCATGTGTAAACTGTAGAAACTCTAGATTCCTTTAACTACTGTTTATCTGCTTGTATTTACTTACCAACTACAACAGGAGCCGCTGAACTATAGTTCATGTTTCAGCTTTAATTCATGTCCCCTCAGCACATACATGATATGGCTTTAGACCTGGATGGCCTTCTAGCGTTGGCCTTTTTTGGGGATTCCCAATCTTGTTTCCTGTGGGATTATAGTTACTTTTCTGCCTGCTTCTTCAAGCCAATACTATTAGAATTTTAGCCAACTTATGTCACACAGACTAAAAACCACAAAAATGGGGAAATGAACCTGTACAAGTTTTCTAGGTATAAACTGCTATAATACAAGTATGTGTACTTGCTTGATTTGTTTATTCTCCAGCATCTCACAATAATTGCTTTTAATATTGTTTGAACCATTCCTCTGGTAGCAATGCTAAATTCTATCAAAAGGCAGTTACTGGGGCTGGGACCTGGCTCAGTTGGTACAATAAGTACTTGAGTTCAATTCTCAGAATCCTGCTTGTAAACTTAGCACTGGAAAGACGAACACAGGCTCAGTTATAGGGCAGTAAGTGACCATCTCAAAAGGTGGGATTAGTATGATGGTTCAGACCTTCCATCCCAACATTCAGGCAGGAGGATAACTGCAAGTCTGTAGCTTGGGCTACAATTTAGTTTTGGGAATGTCTTCTACACAGGTTGCAGGTGTTTGGAGTCAGGTAAAAAAAAAAAAAAAAAGCCTTAATGGCTAGTTATGTGACGATTGTTCTCAATTAGCCCTTTACCTTTTTTTTAATCTATAAATGGGGATGAAGGTCACACCCCCCCCCATCCAATCCAATCCAGATTTTAACCTATTAAACCATTAAAATAGCCACACTTACCTGAGCTTTGTCCCACAGGGTCTCATGAAGCATTCTAATTGGCCAACCTTAATAAAGTGGAATGCCTCTTTTTTCTCATGAAAAAGAATGAAATCCATTGCCTTCATTGCCTACAAATTGAAATTTTCCTCTTCCCATCCTAGGAATCACCTCCTTGTGCAGATAATTACCGTCTCTCAGAAGCTGCTTTTCTCCTGAATAAAGAATCTGGGCCAGGATTATCTCAGAAGAGGAGAGCTCCTGCAGAGAACATCATCAAACGGCCTCGAGTGCACTAGTGCACTAGGAGAAAAGTTTCAGTTACAACCTGAACACTGTTGTGATGGCTTTGTGTAGTTTAGCGACATTCATCTGAAGGACTCTGCTTCAGAGCAGTGGTCCTGGGAACCTGGTGCTTTTAACACCTGGATTTGAATTACCGGATAAAGGGACTTCACTACCTTCTCTGGGCACACTGTGTGCATAATTATTTTTCTTGTAAACATCTGTAATAGTTTTTAACAAGGAGATAAATTTTGTCTCAGAATGTCTTAGTTCATAAAAACAACAATGTTAATCAATTGGGGTTATTTCATGTTTTCCCTGATTTCTTTTATATATAGATACTTGCCATTTTACCTTATTTAATAGCCTAAGCATGGGGTTTAATAATGAAGCCGGGGCTTTAAACTTAAATGTGTATATATGTAAATGTATATGTGTAAACTTTCATGTTTTCAAAATGTGGGCAAACAAAATTTAGAAAATAAACAATCTCAATTCACTCTGATATTTGTTTAGCTCTGTTATAGCAGTAAGAGACTGCCAAACTTATTTCTAAAAACTGAATTGCTAATTACATTGGTTTTGCTAGGATTAAGAGAAAAGAAAGGCTGGAGAGATGGCTTAGTGGTTCAGATCACTGGCTGCTTTCAGAGGACCTGGGGGTTCAATTCCCAGCACCCACACAGCATTCAGTTGTCTGCAGCTCCAGTTCCAGAGGACTGATATCCATGACACATCACCAATGCACATAAATTTTGTTTTGGGACAAGATGTTAACTATATAGTCCTGTCTGACACCTCTGCCTGCTGAGATTCACACCCAGACAATGTTTTTCTTAATCCTAGCAATATATTTACTTAAAAATACATGTTGGGCATCGTGGTTTACACCTGGAATCCCAGCATTCCAGTGAGGTAGGAAGGGTCATTGAGTTTTTTGTCCAGCCTAGGCTGCAGTGAGTTCCAGAATAGTCTGGGCTGGAGTGAGATTGCTCAACAAAGCAAACGCTAGAGGGATGTCAGAGGTTAAGAATATCTCTCTTCTAGAAGACTTTTGGTCTTCTTACAGGTGCCTCATAACTGTGTGTGGCTTCAATTTCAGAAGCCTCTCATGCCTCTGGGCTCCATAGGCACCAGCACTCATGCCAGACACAACTAAGTCTTCTACAAGGTGAAAAAATAAGTGCTTCAAAAACAGGGAGATGGATGGCTTGACTCAGCTGGTAAAGTGCTTGCTGAACCAACATGAAGACTTACATTTAGCTTTCTAAAACACAGGTATAGGGTCCCAGAATCTAAACAGGGGTTCACTGGCTAACCAGTCTCAACACAAACAGCTCTAGGTTCAGTCAAAGAACTTAAACAGTAAGGTTGGGGGGGGGGGGAGTTAATGTAAAAGTGCTGCTCAGCACCTACATGATGTCTGAGCAAGAGACACAGTCTTCTCTTCTGGCTTCCATGGGGACCAGGCAGCAGCCAGACAAACAAAACAACCATATACATTAACAATAAATGAAAAACAATTTTGAAAAGTGGGAAGCTAGGGAAATGGCCCAAGCTCAGCAGATAAAGGTGATCACCACCCAAAACCTTGACAACTCAAGTTTGATTCTCCAGAATCCACACAATAGAATCAACTTCCCAGGTTGTCCTGACTTCACAGATGACACCCATAGTAAACAGTTTAAAAATCTTAAAAACAAGGTGGAGAGTGATAGAAGACACCTGATCAGCAGTCAGTCTCTGACTTACATAAGCTCACACATAAATACACCAGACTGTTCATGTATGTGTATTTAAAAAGTTGGGGGTTGGTGAAGATGTACTTCAGTTGGTAGAGTTTGCAGACTAGGTTCAGTCCGCAGCACTGCATAAAACCAGGTATGGTGGCTCAGGCCTGTAATCCCAGCACTTGGAAGGAAGTAATATATCAGAAGGCTCAGGGTTCTCAGCTACACCAAGTTTCAGGCCAGCCTGGGCCATAAGATATTGTCTTAAAAACACAATCAAAGGTGAGAAAGCATTTTGCAAATCCCATGTCATAAGGTACTACTACTAACACCTAGAATAAAGAATTCAATAATTGCCCAATTTAAACACTGACAAATAATCCGAGTACCTTTCTTTTTAAAAATGCAAGGGCAATCTACAGGAGATGCCAAAGCCACTTCACATTGCCCAGGTCTAGAATCATGTTCCAAAACAAGCAATGGGGGTAAGAAACAGAACCCTCACACTGCTGGCAGGAATAGACATGGCCACTTAAGGGGTCCATGTGAACCAAGTGATTTTATCTTTAGGTATGCACCCCAAAAAACTGAAAGCATGCAGACACTAAAACTTAAGCACATGACAGAGCAAGCTTGAGGGTAGCTTGTACTCATGTAATCCTGTCTCTAAAAAGACTATGGAAACTAAGGTCTGAAACATGCTTATAATCCTATCTACTTAAAAAGCTAAGGCAGGAAAAGATCTCCCACCCTAGCTAACGGGCTGAGGATTTTGTATGTAGCCTGATGGTAGAGTGATTTGCCTGAAACCTTAAGGTGATATTTTCTATTTTAAATATAGCAGTTAAGAAAAAAAGCCTCAGAAATGGATATACATTAGTGGTTAAGAGCACCTAATGCTCTTGGCCAAGGACCAGATTTCAGTGCTTGTAACTCCAGCTCTAGGGGATCCAATGTCTTTTGGTCTCCACAGGCACCTGTACACAAATGGCATACATATTTCCAAACAAGCATACATGAAATCATTTCTTTAAAATGCCACAACCAAGTACAAAAAGTAAGTAATAGATTCCATTGCCAAATATGACTTAAAATACATCTCAACTGACTTAGAAATTTAAGAGACTGTAATATAAACCAAATCTTGATGCTGACGCTTTGATAGATTCCTGGGGCTGGCAGGAGACCCTGCCTCCAGACTGACATGACTTTAAGCCCTTGCATCCAATTATGAAGAGATTCGCCTTCTCAAAAGTTATCTTCTAACCTACACACACACACAATTTTTAAAGATGAGACCCAGACTGAGGAATATACCCAATGTTGGACCTCACATGCCATGTTCTGCCCCAACTCAAAAATAAAAAAACTGGTTTTGACATGAAAACTTTCAGTTTACAGGATAAAAGGCTTTAGATTCCCCCTTGACATAACTCCACTGAAGCCTCCAACAGATGGAGGCTTTAAATTTCTATAGAAGTCAGCAAACAAATGTATCCTTGAGAGAGAACAGGGTCACCATCCCCAGAAGTGGACCTGGTACTGCTCCCTACTTAGGTTAGGGGATATAAGCAGAAAGGATGACATTCTACCATTCATAGATTTGCTTTTTATTCAATGTTAATGTTACAGAGTTTACACTGCCAAACCATGCCTGAGAACCCAAAGAAAGAAATGGTGCAATGGACAGCCTCATCCACCCAGACAGTGTATTAAAACTTGATTCATGTGCATTGATAATTTCACAATCTTAAAAAATTAGAACAAGACTTGGAATTTACATCTGCTGCAGGTCTTCAGTGTTCCAGTACAGTATGGCATTAAACAAACCTCTTCACCTCTGTCTCCGTTCACTTCTTAAACCCTAACCCCAAACAGAATTAATTTGGGGGGTAGGGGCTAAAAGCATACTTTAAGGGAAGTATGTGGCTCAAGGTATGAGATTATTTGTTAAGGTTTTTGGTGCCCAAATAATTCTTCAGTTTAACCAAGAATCTGAAACTTTTAATCATCCAATCTCCTCCTGGCTGGATCAGATCATGCCAACATTACTGCCAGAATGGTGTGCAGTCTGGTCAGGAAACACTGCCCTACACACCTTCCTGGCTTCCTACACTGCTGCACTCATTCCTCTCAAGCTGGGAGAGCTTCCCTTATTACTGGTTTCACGGCTGTAAGTAGTGAGCAAATCTGAACTGCATTTGACAAAGGGGTTCATTACACAGAAACCCGGGTACTGACATCATGTAGTCAGTTGCCAATATAGTTTATACTGAACCATTTCTAGTAGGTTAATTGCCAGACTACTTCATTAGGTAGAAAGGAACATAGCAGTAACCTCTTTAAAGGCCAAATACTACTGCAAAGTTAAGTTGTAATTACTAAGACCAGAAGTGCTACATCATTGGCTAGTCCCCAGGTTTCCAAGTGAATATCACAAACATACTCCCAAGGTGGACAACAAGCTGGCTGCAACAAAGAATGTATCTACAGAACAGCCAATATCTTCAACTTTTGGGGCACACACAGGATTTCTTATCAGACATCATGCAAGATTCATGAAACAACTTCAGGGTGTTGGTGAGGTTTTGCTCCTGTTGCTTTGCATTTTTAAGACAGGTCAGTGAACCCCTCCCCACCTGAGCAGACAACACTCCATCCACAGCAGTTTTATTTAGACCTGATTAGAGGAGGCTTGAGCAGCACCTGGAGTGGAGCCTCTGGCATCTGCTGCCGTTTTTATCAAAGGCTTTCTGGTTCCACCTAGGGATTGGCAAATTCACAGGGCATTTCACAATTCCAATGCCTTATTCAGGCTATTTCACCACACAATATGCTGTCAAAGAACTTACTCCAAGTCAAAGCAAGGCCTTAAATGTGGAACAGAACAAGCACTATCTGAATAAAAAAGGTATTCAAAGAAACAAGACTATCCCCCACCCATTCCCCATTTGGTAGATCCAAGTTTGGTTGAACTGAATCTATAGTCACCTCATACTACACTAAAAACTTAAATTATAATAGATCATAGCCCCACACAGATGATTCAAACACATCAATTCTGACAGCGGCTTGTTCCAAGAAGTCTAATATAGCCACAGCTTACAGAATATTCCTTAGGGTGGGGCACAGGACAGGTTAATTAAGGTCACTTAACTCTTCATCTTTTACAGCAGATCAGAACCCAGATGGCTGACTTCTGAAGGCTTTGACAGGAATCCAGTAGAGTTGGTTTCAAGGTTCACACTGACACTAATAGCTGTAACCTTATGCAGAAATTGTGATCCACATGAAATCCACAATTAAGTGCAGCAAATCTGAGGTAGTCAACCTTGCGAAGGCTCAGTATCTGAACATAAAGATGTTTGAAATGACCACTGGCTGCAGGTTTGGTTTTATATGCAGAGCAACTATGGAAACACTGCTGAATCTAATTCACAAGTATTTAAGACAATGAAAACACCCCTAAATCCAACACACATCCAGATCAGTTGTGACTCTTGAACTTCCATAGAGCAACAGGGACAGTCACTGGACTCGAGGTCTTCATCTCATCCGTCAGCACTGGTGATCCAGAAATCAGACGCTGAATGGCTGTTCTTGGTGGTTAGCTGTGGTCTAGTTATCTTGGAAGGCTTAGCAAAGACCATTGCTTAACTGTACTGTGTGTGACTGTACTTCTGATTTTCAAGCACAGCATACTGGTTGTCTAGCTGAAGTTTAAGGGCCTGGTTTTTTGAAACCTCCTCCCTACCTCTATTTTTGTGTCTTACTA